ACTATATTGTTTTGGAGAAATGAATGAAACTGTTTTTAAGCTTAAGGAAATGGGAATCACTACTTATAACGGAGTTCCTGATTCTGAACTAATTAAAAAACATCATCTTTTAGTTTTAGATGACTTAATGCTTAATATTCCAAATGATTTTTTAGATTTACTTTTTACTCGTGGTTCACATAATTGGGGCGTAAGTGTGATTTTTGTAACTCAATCTCTATACGGCCGTGATATAAAGACCGCAAGAGCAAATGCACATTATATCCTTTTAACAAAAAACCCTCAAGGCCTTCTGCAAGTACGGACACTCGGCTCGCAGCTTTTTCCAAAAATGCTTAATTATTTTCTTGAAGCCTATCGAGATGCAACATCGGAACGTTTTTCTTATTTATTAATAAACATGCATCCTAGCACAGATGAAAATATGAGACTATCCTCAAAAATATTTCCTGGGGAAAAAACTACTATATATTTGCCGCTGTAATATATAAGTACTCGAAACAATTGTAAGATAAAAATGCCCACGTATAACTATAGTCCATACGTTAAGGAAAATTTTGAGTTTCTCCAAAGTTTAGCAAAAACTACTTCAGATAAAAAGAAAAACGCTCTTATTCTTTCAGCAAGCGCAGATCAAATCTTATCCATTGTAGAAATTTGTGCTAATATTTTGAAGCATAATTTCATCTTGAGTACGAGACAGCGTAGAAAATTAGCTCAATTTGCTGATTTCTATAGAGCCATCGCTCGGACGCGTACTGAAAAAGGTGCAAGAAATCGAATCCAACAAGGAGGCAGTGCCGCTTTAGCAGCAATTCTAGTGCCAATTCCAGGTGCATTAACGGAACATATTATTCATAAATTCACTCAAAAATGAAACATACAAAGAAAATGATTATGGTGCCCGAAACCGAATATCATACGCTTCTGTCTATGATTAGAGGTGAAGACTTTTTACAAAGGGAAAAAGCACAGACGGATGCAGAAATTTCAAGGACATTGAATGATCCAAAAATTTCTGAAGATGTAAAAGCAAAGAAATATAATTGGTTATATAAGAAACGTCGTCAACTCAATCACGAGTTGGAAAATCGTCCTCAAAGGGTAATTATTGACGATGGTAAAACATCAGCAAAAAAAAACATAAAAAAAATAAAAAAAAAATAAAAAAATAAAAAAAAAAAAATCAGCAAAAAAAAAAATCAGCAAAAAAATCAGCAAACATCAGCAAAAAAAAACATGAAAAAAAAAATAAAAAAAAAAACATAAAAAAAAAATAAAATAAAACAAAAAAACATAAAACATCATAAAACATCAGCCCCTTACTTGCAAGAATCAATATCTCCTACGCATAAACCTAAAGTAATAAACGAAGAGCTGGAAGAACCACGATCAAACATAGAACCCAATACTTTATTAGAGGCGTCATCTTTAAAAACCAGAATCTTAAGAAATAAATTTTCTACACCCTCAAAGGAATAATTGCAAAGCGCTATTCTAATGAACTGGAAAATTATGTAAAAGAAAATTCTGAAAAGTTCAGAATACGCAAGAACGGGAGCTTTGAATCAAACATTCCAGGAACAATTGTAAAGAACAGTAATTTTACAGATGTTCTCGAATATGTAAAGGGAGACATATCTTCACCCCCTAAAGGTTTTAGTTTCCTTTTTAATCGACTTTCTAAAGATCCTTTAGTGAAAGAGATGATTAGAGAGACGCGGGGAGAAAGTACTACTGAAGGTAGTTCAACCGATAATCAATCAGGCAGCGGTAAGAGAAAAAAGAGAGTTCTAGTAAAAGTCTTGCCTATAAATTCACCAGGATTTGTTCGGAGTTGTTTCAGGAATAAATGCAAGTATTAATCGAATCACGGGTGTAACTCCTAATTCTGTTACGTTTAAGAATGGGGGTGAACTTTTTAACAGACTATATAAGGATCCTAAAAATATACAAAATACTAAAACAAGCTCAATACTTGATCCAGGACAAATTGTTCGTATCACTAAAGAAAAAGGTAAATTTGAAAAGGGATATTTACCCAACTACACTGACGAATTGTTTCGCATGCATATTAAAAACGACAATAGATCGCCCATTACATATAAGTTAAAAGATTTTGAAGGAAATTTAATTGAAGAGATATTTTATAGAGAAGAATTGGTTCCCACTCAAGAAGATACAACTCACCGTATTGCTGAAATTTTAAAAACACGTACTCGTCAAGGTATTAAGCAACATTTTGTTCGTTGGATAGGATATAACGATAATTTTAATAGCTGGGTTAACGATAGCGATATTGTTAGAAGATAAATATGGACTCTTTTTATGTAATATTGCCCTCAAATACAGGAGGGGTTGAAGGAAATACCACTTCTAAATTTACTGTTCGAATGCCTGATACTCTTGAATTGGATTCAAGTTGGACTGTTGCACTATCTAATATTATATATCCGTTTTCTTTTTCATTGGCTGGAGATTCCGAAGAACAAGAATCAATAACCATTTTTCGAAGATACGGAAATGAACTTTTAACAATTCGTATCGAGATACCAGATTTGTCCTTTGCCTCAGAAGAAGCATTGGAAGAGTCTATTAATGCAGTTTTGCTTGATGTATGGAAAAAGGAATTGGATCGCGAACGAGAGGAAAAGTGAATTGAAGAGAATAAAAAAAGAATTTATGGAAATTTTCGTAAAAGGCGTTCTGTCGAATCTATAAAAGAACAGTATGATAAACATGGTTATTTTGATATTTATACAGATGAATTGAATAAATTTATCAAACTATTATCAGAAGAGGATGAGGCAATTAGTCCAAAACTTACAAATTTGAGTCCAGGAGAAGGAGGTAAAAATATTCGTCTTTTGCCCCCTGTAAATCAAAAATCCCTTTACTTAAAAGTTATTGATAAATTTCTTCTTTCACAACAAACATTAGAACCGACGGAGCAATTGGCTAAGAATGGCTATTTCGATATGCAAAAGCAAACCTCTTTTAATTTTATGAAATATTTAGGTAAAAAAGGAATTCGATTACCACCTATAAGCCCTGCCCCTCTTGCGGCTGATGGTATAGAAAGGGTTCGGTTTCGTCCGTATAACGATCAAATGGAGCGAATCAAACAGGCTATTACAGAATTTATGAATCCAGCGAGTGTTAATCAAACTGAGGAGAAGGTTGCATCTGTCTATAGTCAAAATGTAGCCATCGAATCTGAATCACCTCCACAAACAGCGGTTGAGCATGAGAATCTGCAGGTTGATTTCTCGCTAGAGACTATCACTCAACAATTGGAAAAGGAAGGTTATTTTGATATGCCAAAGGAGCGTGCTTATAAATTTATAAAATATTTAAATACGGAAATTAAGGGCGCAAAACTTCCAAATGTATCGTCGGTTGCGGGAAGCTCTATTGAGTCGGTTAGATTAGAGCCACAACCTGATCAGAAAGATCTAATAATGAATGCAATTAAAAGCTTTAGGTCCTCATCCCCATCAGAGCCTGAGCATATTCAACAATCAGAAACAACAGATTCTGTAGAAGAAAGGCTTGTTGAAAATGATAAAGAAAATACTAATGAAATTGAAGAAATTTCAGAGCCTGGGCCTACAAATGCTCATGAGGATGATATTTCTATTCCAGCTACAGAAGTGACTAGTCCTATAATCGAAGCTCCGCCCACTCCTGAGACTCCATTGACATTACCTGAAGAAAAGCACCTTGAATCTAATGACAAAACTCCTTTAGATGGGAAAATAACGCACCTTTCATATGTAGAGGAGCCTAATGAAAAGCCATTATTAACCGATGATCAAAAAGTTTTAATGGAAATGGCCGTTCGTGCCGCTTCAAGAGCATGGAGAAATAGCGTCGAGTTGGCAGAGCACGCACAAATAAATATGGAACTTGGTGAAAAATATTGGCAGAATGCGCGCTTTAAGTATGCATTGAAAGATAGTGTGATTACATTAAAACAAACGGGCGAAATTGTGCAGTTAAGAAAAACACCTGAAAATATTCTTGAATGGGTTAAATCTCAGTTAATATTGTTAACTAATCGTAAAATTGCAATTGATAAATGGACACAGGAATGTTTAGAGTATGGAAAAAGAGCTTCGGAAGCACAACTAGAAACTGAAGCTGCAGAATCCCGCGGTGATGTCACAGAAGCACGAAAGGCTGCAGATCGTGCTAAGGCCGCAGAAAGTAAAGTAAAGGAAGCAGCCAGTCAGGTTGAAGAGGCTGTTGCAGGACAAAAAGGTTTATCAGAAGAAATTATTGGTAAAGTTGACGCAGAACTTGCGAAACAGGAAGATACTTCGTCAATTCCTGTATCTTCAAATATTGAAGATGAAAATGAAAATTTTACCGAAGAAAATATCGCGGAAAATATTGATGAGCATGATGATTATGAAGCTCTAACCGACGAAGACGAAGAAGAGTGGACACCTCCATTACCAGAAGAAAATATCAAAGAGGCGAACGAAAAACCAACGCTTATAAGAGAAGGTACAGCCGAAGAAGATACGCAAGAAGATACACAACATGAATTACAAACAATAACCAATGATGACGAAGAGCAATGGGAAGCTCCATTACCAGAAGAAAGGGATGAAGTACATGAAGAAGCAATAGAAGATTCTGAAGAAGATGATACAAGAGAAGAGCCTCCGCAGGAATCACAAACAATAAGCGATGAGGACGAAGAGCAATGGACACCTCCATTACCAGAAGAAAAAAATATTGAAGAAAATATTGAGGCAAACGAAGAACCAACAATTATCGAAGAAGAAAAAGATGAAGAAAACACACAAGAAGAGACTCTGCAGGAATCTCAAACAATTTACGATAATGAAGAGCAATGGACACCTCCATTGGCAGAAGAAGACCCTGTAAGTATTCCCCCAGCAACCGCAAATTTACGTGAAAATATTGTTCAGCCTAAAGTAGATGAAATAATTCATACAGAAGAGCGGCCTTCTCTTCCACGTCCTGAAATGTTAATTGGAGAGCCTCCTCACCATCCCTCCTCATGGAAAAGCTTCTTTGGACTTGGCGGTATGTCAAGCGAAGATAAAACGAAACAAAATGAGCTTTCAGGCCAAAAGAAAAAAGAACCTCACAAAGGAAAGTTAACAATAAGAGTTGATGATTCGGATCCTAATGTAAAGAAAATGCATTTTGCTAAATATGGCTATCCTCCTGAATATCTAAAAATGCTTCTTAGCTTTTCCAATATACAACTAGCCGATCCAAAATATCAATAGGTTTCAGTACACTTTGACAAATTGCATAAGAGGTTCCATGTCTTCTTACAAGGAAACGTACAATATATTCAATTAAGTCGTCAATTAGCTTATACTCTTGGTTTTGATTCTGAGAAAGTTCATAGTGGACAAGTGGCAAAGTATATGCCTGATATATCTGGAGGTGTTCGTCAATTTTTGGTTTATGCTCCAAGGCTCGTTGAAAATAGTATAATTGGAGACGTAACTGCTCCCCTATTACGTGTTGTGAATCTAACTGGTAAGCCGGGTGATAGTATTTCCGAAGTATATATGACCGAGCATCAACATCGTATATTAGGTAAACGTCATCCAGACATTACTATTGAAATTCGCACCTTAACTGGAAAACTCGTAAAATTCCATTGGGGAACCTGTATACTAACACTACACTTTCAACGCTCTTTATTTTAAAAATGACACATGTACCAATAGATTTAGATAAAATAGACTGGGAACCTTTCTTAGCCTCCCAAGATGGAGGTTCAAGATTAATAGAAGGAAGTCGTTATTTTCAAGGAACGAATTATCAAAGAGGATTTGGTTTATTAGGATCTGTAGGGCGTTTTCTAATGCCAATAGTTAAAAATTTAGCTACTAGTGCAGGACAAGAGGCAGTTAATGTTGGAAAAAATATCCTTGAAGATGTTTCGCAAGGTCGATCAGTTAGTGATGCCTTGAAGCAGCATGGAAGCGAAGGGCTTCAAAAAGTAGGAAAAAAGCTCCAACAATGTGGAAAAGGCAAAAGAAAACGCAAACAAATATTATTATCGGAAATTTAGGGAACAAAGGCCGCCGCCATAGGGATCAACTTAGTTTATAAAATTTCTGAGTATATAAGTATATGTTAAATACTAATTTACTTTAAGTAAAAAATGACAACATTAAAGAAAATTGATAAAGATAGTTCAGAAGGTGTAGACAACCGTTTATCCTTCTTTTCTATTCCCTCTACAAATGTAGGTATTATTCGTTCGGCATATAAAGAATTACTGCCTCTTAATGCTTTAAATCAATCTGCGGGCCCCTTTATTTTTCGGTATTTTGGTGACTCGCTATATCTTGATTTGAGCAAAACTTATTTTAGTCTGGTTTTATCCTTAGAAAGAAAACATGCAACTAGCGATGAATGGGTTCCTATCACAGACGGTGAAGCTGCCGATTTGAAAGGCGATAAATTTACAGGAGTTGCTCAATATCTAGGTCTTACATGGATTCGTCGTCTAACTCTATCAATTAATGGTGTTCAGTGCTATGATTCAGGTATTCACTATGCATATAGATGTATACTTCTACACGAGCTTGGAGCAAGCCGAGAGGTGAGCAAAGGACTATATGAAGCTTCACTTTATTATAAGGATGCCGTCGACAAGGATGCCTTTGAAGGTAGTGGCTTTAAGTCACGGGCTTCTCGTTTTGCTAATGGCCAAACATGTAGATTATTTTCCCACTTAGATTATGATATGGCACGTCAGAATCAGCTTCTAATTCCGAATAGTGACGTGATCTGGACCATTTATAGAAATTCTGATGAATTTCTTATTCATACCCCTAAGTATCGCTTAGCTACAGGCGGAGAACTGATAAGTAATACAAACTCTTATCGTCTGCGTCTTCATGATATGAGAATTTATGTTAAACAAGTCGATTTAAGTATGTCTCTAAATAATGCTATTTCTAGACATTTAGAGAAGTCTCCAGCAAAGTACGCTTATAGAAAAATAGAAATTCGGAGTGTATTTCTTGGAAAAGGGCGTCAAGAAATTACACATCCCGCATTCACTAGCACTTGTCCGAGACGCTTAATAATCTGTTTTGTAGGTTCTCCAGCATATACTGGAAATACTGCATTATCCCCATTTACTTTTGAGCACGCTAATTTACGATCAGTTTCTGCAGAATTTGGGGGATTCCAATTTCCTGCAGTGCCATATGACCTTGATTTTGCTAAAGGTAATTTCGTTCGCGCTTATTTTGACACTTATGTTGGTGTGGATCTCGATAATTGGCCAAATTCTGATCAAAGAACTCTCGATATCAATATGAGAGAATATTCTAAATCCTCCTGCTTCTTTGTTATTCCGATGACTTCAACACTTGAGGATACAAATGGGCTAGAATTAATAAGACAAGGTACAACAACCGTACGGTGTCTTTTCAATCAACCCGTCAAAGACTCGGGTTATGAAATGATAATAATGGGAGAGTTTGATGCAATCATGTCCATAAATGCAGATCGCGTCTTAAGTACGGATGGATCAGTTTAGATCATGAATTCTCTCCAAATTCAAACTATTTTACAACGGTACAAGCCTCTAAATAATAAATTTATTGGCGTGTTTTCTTCGAATAATATTCCTGATATTGGAACTCAAAAGCCTTTTTGTTTTGTTGCAAATACGATGCGTAAAGGCACAGTTGGTGAACACTGGATTGCCTGTTATTCATATACTCCAAATACATTGGAATATTTTGACTCCTTTGCCGAAGAACCAAATTGTGACATGAGAAAGTCAATGCTTGCCAATTTTTCCTTAGTGAAACAAAATAAATTTTCATTACAATCTCCCTTGTCAGATACTTGTGGTCATTATTGTATTTGCTTCCTCATCCTACGTTCGAAACAGGGTAATAATTTTTCATCTGTTCTTCAAAAGTTGCACTCAATACCTTCAGAGGGACGCGATGCTATTTTACGAAATATTATAAAGAAACTATCATTAGGAATTAGTATATAAGATAATTATTCAGTGTTTATGCAATAAAAATGCTGCAATCAATATTTTTAATTTTCTTCCTTTGTGTGATTTACGCTTATAAGCAAAACGATAGTAACATTCTTTATCCTATTCACGGCCCATACCCTCCAAATGTAAATGCGTGTTTTATTATTGATGAATCACATGCGCTTTCAATCGGTCCTTCAGGAAATCCTAATAAAGATATGTTTTTATTAATCGCTTATGTCCTCGATTTGTTACTAATTTTTGTTTTGGCTGTAGTGTTTAAAGCACATGTAAATTTGAGAAGAAATGGAAACGGAGAACTCCCTGGAATTAGGTTTGCGAAAGGGCCTCTTGGTATATAAGTCAAGGAAATAAGTTTATAGAGATAAAAATTTACCAGGGGATATGAACATGCGTACTAGTGCTAATATGTCAGAATTTAGAGAACCTGTTAAATTCTCATCAAAATCACCCCCGCCTCATGTGCGCGTCAAAACTGGTTCGTTACTTCAATTACTTTGTAAATTTAATGAAGGATGTGCACCAGAATCGCTTCACAGGGAAGTGCGTAAAAAATACAACAAAAATATTCAATTCCTTCAAACACTTACTAGTATGACAAATGAAGATGTTGCCATCAATGGAATCGGTCAAAAAACATTTTCTGACAACAATATGAAGCCGGGAAAGAAGACAATAGTAACAAATCATTTAAGACATATTCAGTTCGAAGTATATCCAAGTAAATTGACAAAATTGGGGGCTGATCGTATTTTTGCATTGAGAGGCTACTTACGTGTGACAATCAGGCAATATTTCTATGTTCGACATAACATAGACATTGTTTATCCACAGCTTCCTCTTGTTTGCGTTGTTGGCGGTCGATAGCATCAATATTTTTATCCTCTGGAATGTTTGGACTTTGTTAAAGTTGAAGAACAAAAATGAATAGAAATTTATGAACCACTATATAAATGATCATTCACATTATTTGCATAATATGAAAAATGCTTTTTATATTAATTTTTGTTGCACTAGTAGAGCTTGTTAGCTGTGAAAATAAAATAATAAAGAATGAAGAGTATAAAATATCCTTATTTCGAACAACGCCCAAACCTAAGACTTTTGAACAATTTTTACATCTTGCCTCTACTCATTCAAGTTTTAAAAATTTAACTTTGGAACCGAGTGGTCATGTTTGGTTTGAGTACGATGAGAACGAAAAGGTATGGAAAAAATTATACAAACCTACTTTTTCAGTGGTGTATTATAAATAGGGCTCGGATTTATATTGAAATAAAATCGCAAAATATGGCCATAAAATATTGAAATAAGTGGGCAAAATATTGACAAAAAATGCCAAAAATTAGTGAAATATTGAAATAAATTATCGTTTATTCACTAGAAAATCCCCCCAAAAAAGTTGAAATTTAACAAAAAAATGAATCACGTTTTTAAAATTGCACATTAGCTTTATAGCCCGATGAATTGAGTAATTTTACGCTCTTGGACATTTTGCGATTGAAAAAATGAGGTTGGACATTTAGTGGGTTTTGCTCAATTTACTATTTTTAAGGTTTTGCCCAACAAATTTTGAGGTTTTTGCACATTTTGAGGTTACGAAGAATGTCTCGGGAATAATTAGTGGGAAGGCAACGGTACTGTAGTGAATAATAGGCCATAATATCCCCTTTTCAGCGCCGCAGGCGAAAATTCTGAAAATTTTGGAAGACCAAGAAGCCAGATGTTTCCATTTTTAGCGCCGCAGGTAAAAATTTTGAGATTTTTGGTTGTCAGGCGGCCAGATTTCTTCACTTTTTTCCTAAACTTTATGAAAAATCCCAAAATTTTGGTAAAAATATGCAAAAATATTGAAATAATTTGAAAAATGTGTCAAATATTGAAATAACTGGAAAATTGGCAAAATATTGAAATATATTGAAATGTAACTTCGTTCAAAATCATAATATCGAAAAACTAATGGGATATTTGAGCTTCTCTCGCCATAATATATTCAGGAAAAAAAAATATATCTCAATACAAATCCGAGCCCTAATTATCAACCAAATATCTTCGATTCCGCTTGGTCATTTGTTAAAGAAACTTGCTATGATATTGTAGTAGCTATCAAATCGTTTGTAATAGGAGTAACGAAGCTAACCTTATACCTAGGACGTAGACTAATACCTTTTCCATAATAGCATGTAAAAACGTTAAAATCTTATATTTTAAAATAAAATATTTGTTATCTACTAC